CAGCAGAGGATATGGTATGGAATCCCCGGACTAATTTTTTCCCCCCTATATATACAGGATTCAGACCGGCCACCATCGTCGGAAGGCGGCGATCGACGGCCAGGCCGGCGAGGGGCGCTGTCGGTAGCAGGCGGTTCCCATCTCATCTCTGACTCTGACTTGCCTGCCGCTACCAATAAAGGATCAGGAGCACCGCCTCGCCGACGCCGTTTCCCGATTCGAATCGGAACGGACGTCCGGGCGGGAGGCGTGCAAGGTAGAGAGGGCCACGGGCCGGGCTGGAGAATTACATACTGCACGTTACGCGGACACTGAACAGACAGCTTTCTCGTGTTGTCTTGTTACTTGTTAGTCCCGCATCGTTTCTCCAGCCCAATGAAAGCCGGCTCAAGTAAGCACGCCACAGCCCATGTCCCAGAGATGGTAGGAGGGGAAAGCTGGGCTTGAGCCCACGTTGTGAACCCGGAAGCCGGGTCTGTATATCAGCTATAGCCCCCTGATTTCTAGACTGGGTTTCCCACAGAGTCGTAACCGGGGCAATCCGCCACAGCGGTGTACTTGCCACTGTTGCCTAGGCGCTCCGCGATTGGGAGCCCTGCTCTGTGGAACGTGGGCTCGCCTCCACCCTTCCTGCCATCTCTTTTTATTTTTACTTTGAGCCTGTACTTATTGATTTACTTGTTCTGGTTCCAACTTGCAAGGTCAACTTTGCAAAATAGACTAGATTTTCCCACCACCAATTCTGCATTCTCGTTCCATATCATGGGTATTGTCCAAAGGAAAATCTGGAAATGTTTGGAGGAAAATGAACCACTCACTTGTATGCATATTTGGGACACTACGGTTCAGTAATGATCTAAATGGTGATTCATGTGATCACCCAACCGCTTTGGTTAACTTCACATGACGCGTATAGGAGTTGTTCACATCTTATGATCCTAATTGAAATATTATTATGTAGATTAAAACTTGCAAATTTTCACAGAGGTGTGGTAGAGCTTGGCTATATAGCTCGTAAGGATAACGAGCCGGCTCGACTCGGCTCGTTATAGCTCGTAAGGATAACAAGCTGACTAGGCTCAGCTTAATAAGCAAACGAGCTAAAACTCAAGCTCGGCTCGGCTCGTTTAGCTCGCGAGCCAGCTCCATTTGCCTCGCGAGCTGGCTTGTTAACTGTTGCAACCAATGCACAAATCAATAGATACTAATTATTTCATGCATACACCATGACAAGTAAATAAATAAGTTTTTAATGCATAGCATACATCAATTCTAGACTCAAGTCTCATACATATAACATAAAATTAAGCTCAATTGCTACTAGTTTAGGTTGTCGAACTATAAAATATTTGGCATGTTTAACTCGCGAGATGGCATGCGAGCCAGCTCGAGCTAGCCAGCTCGTTAACTTAACGAGCTAAAATACTAGCTCAACTCGTTAAGAAAAGTAACTGAACGGCTATCTAACTTGTTAGACTCCCTCTGTCCCTAAATATTCGTCTCTACGGTTTGCGTGCTGATATATTTGACTAGATTTGTAAAAAATATTTTCGTCAAAAAAAGATATAAAAAATATTAGCAATATTTATATTTCTAAATAAATTTATTATGAAAATAGATTCAATAATCTATCTAATGATATTAATTTTATATATATTTAGTCAAAGTTATGTAAGCAGGAACTAGAATAGAGCAGAGATCAAAGCAGCAAGCATGGGGAATAGGATAGTTCAGAAAAATCTCATTAGAACAGGAAGTGCTTAAGGAGTAGATTACAACTATGTTCATTCATGAATCTCTCTCTCCGCTCAAATCGGCACATATACTACTCGGACACGTCTCTCCTGGCTGACGGTGCTCACACCCACTCTGGGCCTTGGGCTCGTATGTTGGGCCGCCGTTCACGTGCACCTCGTCTTGGCCCAAGAGCGGTGTTGTCGTGGACGGCGTCTTCTTCTTCTCTGCCTGAGGGCAATGGCAATGTGTTGCTGACATTTACCCCCTCGATCAGAACCAGCTTGCCCCAAGCTGGCGCTCGAGGGAACCGTTGCCGAAGTTGCTCCAGGTCCTCCCATGTCGCCAGCGATGGTGATAAGTCGGACCACTGGATCAACGCCTGGAGACGAACAGCAGTTCCTGACTTGGCGACGCGCTTCTGCAGAATACGTTCTGGTACCTGCAAGCCATCGAGTGAGTCTGGTAATTGTTCAGCTGATTGACTTACGGGTACAGCGCCCTTGAGCTAAGACACATGAAAGATGGGATGAACTGATGATGGTGGCAACTGCAACTTGTAAGCAACAGGCCCGATCTTCTCCGTGATCAGATACGGTCCAAAGAACCTGTATGACAATTTTTGATTGGAACGAGCAGCAACTAAAGATTGTACATACGGCTGCAGCTTGACATACACCCATGTGCCAATATCAAAGGATCGCTCAGTGCGGTTCTTATCTGCCTGCATCTTCATACGATTCTTGGCACGAGCTAGATGCTGCTGAATGAGTGACTGCATCATTGTTCTCTGTTGATACCAATCATCCAAAGCGGAAACCGAGCAAGCAGACGCTGCATCAATGCCCAATTGCCTCGGTGACTGGCCGTACAGCACATAGAAGGGTGACTGCTGCAAAGCTGAATGCCAGGTTGTATTATACCAGAACTCAGCCAAATGAAGCCAGTCAAACCACTTAGAAGGAGCTGCATTAGCGAAACACCGCAAAAACGTTTCCATGCACTGATTGACTCTCTCGTCTGACCGTTGGACTGCGGATGATATGCAGAACTCATCCGAAGTTCCACTCCAGCAAGGCGAAATAACTCTTTCCATAACATGCTGGTAAAAACTTTGTCGCGGTCAGAAACAATAGCAGTGGGGAGACCATGGAGCTTATACATATGCATCATGAACTGTTTGGCGACCGATAAGGCAGTAAAGGGATGCTTAAGAGCAACAAAGTGGCTGTACTTGGAAAACAGATCTACTACCACCAGTATGCAGTCAAAGCCATGAGAGTTGGGCAAGCCCTCAACAAAGTCCAATGAAATTACCTGCCAGGCAGATGTCGGTGTCTCCAGAGGTTGTAAGAGTCCCAGATACTTGACATGTTCCGTCTTGGCTTGCTGATAGGTAGGACAGCTATGAACGAAAAGATCAACATGTTTCCGAAGACCAGACCAAGCAAAGAATTCCTGCAGGCGCTTGGTTGTAGCTGGAATGCCTGAGTGTCCCCCGAGCGGTGAGCTGCGGAAAGCTCTAATGATTTGTTGCTGTAATTCGGCATTGTTACCCACCCAAATCCTATTGTTGTGACGTATAATACCATCCTTTAAGACAAACTGGCCAAAACCTGCAGTGGAAGTTGTCAACTTGGCCAATAGGTGTTGTGCTTGAGGATCACTGTTGTATCCATGCGCCACCTCGGTACACCACTGCGGTGTAGCCACTGAAATTGCACAACAGACCCCATTATCATGGACACGTCGAGATAGAGCGTCAGCTGCGGTGTTCTCTATGCCTTTCTTATATATATACAATGCGGTAGCGCAGGCCCAGAAGCTTGGTAAAAACTCGTTGTTGCCACACAGTATTAAGTCTTTGATCATTGAGATGAGTTAAGGATTTCTGGTCGGTGAAAATGATGAATTCGGCCAGTTGCAAATACGAACGCCACTACTCCACTGCAGTTAGAATTGCTAGATATTCTTTCTCATAAATGGACAATCCTTGTGTCATGGGTCCCAGGGGCTTGCTCACATAGGCCAATGGGTGGCCATCCTTGATTAATACTGCTCCCACCCCCGTCTGGCAAGCATCAGTCTCGATGCCAAACGGTTTACTGAAATTAGGAATACCGAGCACCGGTGCCGAGCACAGAGCCTGTTTCAACGCTTCAACAGCTGCCTGATGCTCCGTTGTCCAGACAAAGAGCTGATTCTTCTTAAGGAGTTGAGTTAAAGGCCGAGCAAGTATGGAGAAATGACGCACAAACTTGCGATAGAAACCAGCTAACCCTAGAAATCCGCGGAGTTCCCATGTGTTCGCCGGTGTAGGCCAATGCTGTACTGCAGACACCTTATCTGGATCAATTCTAACACCTTGAGCACTGAGGATGTGTCCCAGATAGTGAATTTCCTGCTGAGCAAATCTGCATTTCTTTAATTTAACGACCCACTGATCCTTTGCTAACAGGGACAATACCAGACGCAAATGTTCCAGATGATCTGTGTAGGATGAACTGAACACCAGAATGTCGTCGAAGAAGACTATTGCACATTGGCGAAGCACTGGCGCCAGCGTCACATTCATGGCGCCCTGGAATTTTGCTGGGGCTCCGGTGGCACCAAACGGAACTACGCAAAACTCAAAGTGGCCAGCGTGAGTGGAGAACGCCGTCTTATACTCTTCATCGGGCTGTAGCCTGATCTGATGGTACCCTGAATGGAGATCGAGCACCGAGAACCATGAGGCCGATCCCAACTCATCAACCAATTGGTCAAACACTGGTATAGGGTAAACAGATTTGACGGTCATGGCGTTGAGGTAACGGTAATCCACGCAGAAACGCCAGGATCCATCTTTTTAACGCACGAGCAGAACCGGCGAAGAGAATGGCAACTTGCTTGGCTGAATCAAACTCTGACTGAGCATGTTGTTAACCTGACGCTCAATCTCATCCTTGAGGTTGGGTGGATAACGGTAAGCCCTTATGTTCACTGGCGTGGCACCACTGATAAGAGGTATGGCATGGTCGCACGCTCGCTTGGGTGGCAAAGAGTTGGGGACTTGAAAAACAGAAGGAAATTCGGCCAACAAAGCTGCAACATCATCAGGCAACTGAGCTGCATCGTGGTTGCTGTCCGGGGTGTCAATTGCAAGAAGCTGAACCACGAGCTCTGTATCAGAGACGGATGTAAGACCCTGGAGTACCACCGTATCACCCTTGTAAGGAATAGACAACCATTTGGCCTGCCAGTGTACCTCCATTGGACTGTATAGCTCAATCAATGCCCAAAATAAGGTCATATGATTCCAATGACAAGATACGGAGGTCATGCTGAAACTGGTAGTCCCCCAATGAAAAGCAGCAGCCAAGTACAGCTTCTGAGCAGTGGATCAAGTGTCCATTAGCGACCTTTACTGATGCCATCAGCGGTGTACGATGCAGTTGGGGCAATTGTTCAGTAACTGACGCAGCCAGAAAAGAGGCCGAACCGCCGGAATTGATCAGCACTGTGACAGGAAGACCCTGAAGTTTACCATGGAACTGAATGGTCTGTCTACCTCGGGTACCTCTCAACGCATCAGATGATAGAGCCAAACATAGGTGCTCTGGCTGATCCACCGGAGAGTCCTGCTCTTCCTCAGTACTGCCAGGTATCTCTTCCGGATGAAATAGATCCCATACTTCTTGCATTGCATGCAATGAGATAGTTGTCGCACACTTGTGACCGCGAAAACACTTCTGTGCACAGACGTCACAGAGACCCCTGGCTCGCCTGTAGGATCGCAGCTTTGAAAGCTTGTCATCAGTGTCAGGAGCGGTCGCCTTGGGCAACGGCTTGTCCCCAGCAGCGGCAGCAGCCGGCAATGGCCGTGTTGCAGGCACAGCCGAGCGCATTGCCGACTTGAAGCTTGCTCCACGATCATGAGCGTGGAATTCACTCCTCTTGTTGGAATCGGCCATCTCCTCCTGCAATAAGGTAAGCGTGTACGCAGTATCCAGATCGGAAGGACGCTGTAAAGCAACTACCATGCGAATATCATGCCTAAAGCCGTCCACAAATCTGGTGGTGTAATAGTGGAGATCAGGCTTTGGCTGGTAGGCTTTGAGTTGATCAAACAAGGTGGAGAAACGCTCAACATAGTCAGTGACCGTGGAGGATTGGTGGATGTGGAACATTTGGCGTGACAATCTGTCACGCTGGTCACGACCGAACCGATCATGGAGAAGTTTACATAAGTCAGACCAAGGAATACAATCGGGTTGCTCGATGGACTCAATCCAACGAGCAGCAGCGCCGAGAAAGTGCATACGGGACACTTTGACCCACCGGCGAGGGGTACATCATACATCTCAAAGTAATCTTCTGCTTGGGAAATCCATAAGCGTGTGGTTTCATCCTCATAGAAAGGAAAATTGAGCTTAGGCAGGCGACCATTGTCGTTGTGGTGGTGGTTTTCGGGTGGATGACCATGGGGTTGGGTTTCAGGAACGGCTCCATGCAACATAGATGTACCAACATGGGGATTCAGTTGCATACCATTGGCCGGGGAATGGAATTGAGGAGAATTCCCCCCAAATCCATCCACCCGTGTAGTCATGATGACGTGGTGCCCGCTGGGCCGAGAAGCCGTGTTGTTCGCAGATGTGTTCGTGGCGGTCTGCTCCAACAGATTTGGTGTAGAGGAGATCACTCTCGTCGAAGCCGTAGATTGGGCGAGGAAGGATCGATCCCAGTACTTGTTCAACTTGTCGACCTTGAGCTTGAGGTCGTCCACCGCGCCCTCCAAATCCTGACGCCAGGCCTCCAGATCCCCGGCCGCTTTGGCGATGATGCTGACACGATAGTCATGGCGCTTGTCCACCTCGGAGATGAGCGTGGACTGGCAGAGCTCGGAGTCGGTGATGCGACGCTCCCAGTTCAGATCGGAGTCGGCGAGGCGCTTGGTGATGTTGGTGTCGAACTCGACGATGCGGGTGGTGATGGTGTCGTCCACCTCGGTGAAGCGGAGGTCGAGCTTGCGGCTGCTGTCAGTGAACCGCTCGTCGAGCTTGCGGTCCGACTCCGCGAACCGCTTATCGATCTGCGACTTCTGCTCCTTGAAGAGACGATGCATCTCATCCAGGAGCAACTTCGAATCGGGATTCATGGCTCCTCTGCTGCGAGCGAAACGGGTGAAATGTGGGTGTGGCGGCGGCGGCAGTGGGGTTTGGCGATCCAGGACCTAGAGCCGAATCGGAGCTCTCGCGGACTGGGGAATTACGAGAGTCCAAATCGAATCGAAATCGATCGGACTGCACCGACCCGAGGCGTTTGCCAGAGATCGACGAAACGGGGAAAAATTGGTGTAGCGTGGGCGGGATCGAAGGATCTTTGAGAGTTCCATAAATATTCTTCTAATCCTTTTTTAATAGACGGGGAAAAATCCTCCCCATTAATTCTTAATATTTACTTCTAATCTTATAGCATTTAGAAAACTCCGCTCCCTTCCGCGTAACTTTACGACGAAGCCACGCGCGGAAATACTCCACCCTTCTCCTATCCGTCTCTGCATACTGCATGGGAAGGCAAGCACTCGAAGGCAGGGCAGCCCGTGTGGGCGTCGCGGACGGCGACGACGTGTTGCGCTGTCGAAATGCAGCGGCTGCCGGCCTCTGCAGCTTTGCCTGTTTTCGGCAGGCGCCACGCCACGCGTGTGACGAAGGTTGTGGCCTCCTCTCCTCAGCTTGCCCTCACGGGCCAGGCGCCACCATGTGTGCTCATAGCGGCGCGCCAGCACGTGTCAGCAGTCAAAAGGATGAGGTGTAGCCTTTGCAAAGAGATGATCGATCTCACTAACACTGAGGCACTGTACAGTGTCTTTGGCATGCCTGCCTATAACAGGACAGTGAAAGACTGAGCACCCAAATCACTCGTCAGGTGTCTTGGCTCAACACACGCGAAGCTTCCGCTGCTCCTCGCCTTCCCTCGAGCCTCTGTAGCCGCCACTTACTGTTTGCTTGCCTGGTGGCCGGCCGTTGTTGCCTGCTTGCCTGGTTGTCGACTACTGGGCTAGGGCAACACGACGGATGCAAGCGGCGGCGGCGTGGATACGCACGGCGACAAAGAGGTTCGCGTGGAAAAAAAAAGGACTGCAGGAAAAAAAGTCAGATGGGATCGGCATTCGATTTTTATAGAAGTCAAATATTATGAACTATCAGAGATGAACTTCTTTTTTTCTCTAAAAACTTTTTAGGAGTTGGTAAATATAGATTTTTTAGGAAGAATATTTAGGGAACTCTTGAAGATGCTCTCAGCAGGAACTAGAATAGAGCGGAGATCGAAGCAGCAAGCATGGGGAATAGGATAGTTCAGATGAATCTCATTAGAACAGGAAGTGCTTAAGGAGTAGATTACAACTCTGTTCATTCGTGAATCTCTCTCCGCTCAGATCGGCACATATACTACTCGGACACGCCTCTCCTGGCTGACGGTGCTCACACCCACTCTGGGCCTTGGGCTCGTATTGTGGGCCGCCGTTCACGTGCACCTCGTCTTGGCCCAAGGGCGGTGTTGTCGTGGACGGCGTCTTCTTCTCTGCCTGAGGGCAATGGCAATGTATTGCTGACAAGTTGCTTCTCAGAAAGCGAAAACGATAATTATAAAGAGACGGAGGGAGCATGTGAGTATAAAATCCTTATTACAAATAAGGCAAGGTCATCTTGACGGTATTGATCAAATCCTGGATTAGACTGATATCTGCCAAGTATATCGGATGTGAAGGCCAAGTCCGGGCTGATTAAAGCACTGTAATGTAACAAGTTCATCACAACCCTCGCAAGAAAAAAAAAGGAACAAGCTGATTACAACAAGTACAAATAACCACACACGAACACGCATTAGTCGGGCAATGGCTGAACCACCAGCAAAGCCACGTTTGACCACATGACTCAGCAAATCACACACATACAGACCTTGAAGTTGCTGTTCGTATTTTCTTGCTTGAGTGGATTGCTGCTACTGCGGTGGGTCGTCCGTCGTCCCTGGCAGCACCATGCCGCTGAACCAGTGGTTCTCACACGGGTAGGCGGAGCAGAACGTCTGCAGCGCCGTCATGAGCAGCAGCCCGACGGAGGCGATCAGCGTCAGCACCTTCCACGACCTGAACACGTACTTCCTGAGCAGCTTCCTCAGCCGCGCCGCCGCGCTCCTGCTCCGGTGCGCGTTCACCGCCGAGATGACGGCGTCCAGCTTGGGCACCTTGGTGAGCCGCGTCGCCCGGGCCATCCCGTTCCACATGCCCGCGGCCTCCTTGTTGCTCTTCATGTGGTTCACCACCACGCCGCTCCGCCGCAGGATCTTCACGTCCTTGGAGGTGTCGATGATGCCGTTCATCAGCTCCATGTAGCGCGCCAGCACCAGCGGCCCGCGCACGACCACAGCCTCGTAGGCCACCAGGTTGCGCAGCACCACCTCCGTGTTGGCGTCCAGCGTGATGACGGGGAGCCGCAGCGTCGCCGTCGCACGGTCGAAGGCGATCCCCTCGATGCCGCCCTCGGGCGCCGGCGTGAACCGGACGCCGCACCGGGCCAGCGCCTCCACCGACGGGATGCGGATCTCGTCCGCCCGCGGCGCCGTGATGGCACCCTCCTCCGGGGCCTGCTCCGCGGCGCCTCCGTTGAGCTGGGCCTCCACGTCCACGGACTGCATCAGCTTGCCGAGCACCGGCACCAGCGCGGCCAGCGCCGGCGCCTTGCGCGAGATCTCCCCGACCACCTTGATGAGGTGCTTCTTGATGAACCGCACCGGCGCCACGTTGAGCCTGGACGCCTGCGACACGAACTGCTTCACCTTGTCGTAGTCTTCCTCCTCCTCCTCCAGCGTCTTCTTCATCGCCTGCTGCGCCTCGACATCGTCCGAGAACACCTCCTCGCCATCGGCCGCCGGAGCGGGTGCCTCCTCCTCCTCCACCACCTGGTCACCACCGCCGGTGGTACTGTCGTCCAAGAGAGTGGCGTCCGGGACGAGGAAGTGGTACAGGACCTCCAGCAGGTGCGCGTGCTTGGCCAGGTCGCCGATGGCCCCCGCCCCGCGCTTATTGTTGGCGGCGTCGCTGATCTTGAAGGGGGACACGTCCATGATGAACCGGAAGACGACGGCGTGCAGCGCCTTGGCAGCCTCGTGCCGGGTGCTGTGGCGGAGCTCCAGCGTCCTGGCGAAGACGAAGAGCGGGATCTGGTTCTCCAGCATCATGGCGTCGCACACGACGGTGTTGATCCAGTTGGCCGACGAGGACACCACGTCCGTGGCCTCGTGGCGGCGGTAGTTCTCGATGAAGTCGAGCAAGAAGCAGGCGTCGATGGCCATCATCCATGCCAGAGTCGTGTCGTTCAGGTCCAGGAACCTGTGGTATATCGCCCGTATCTTGAGCTCGAGGCCGCCGACAAGGAAGCGGTCCTTGAGATGCTCGATGGTGTGGCCGCCGGCGAATAGCATCTCGAAGCGCTTGGCGCCGGCGAGCTTGAAGCGCTGCATGTCCATGAGCTCGGGGCGGGACTGGTGGTACGGGCCCAGCGAGAAGACGTGCGGCGCGTACGCCTCCGGGTTGGTGTCGCGGAGCGGGCGCGGGACGCTGAACACCTTGGCGGCCGCGCCCAGCGCCTCCGCCGTCTCGTGCCGCAGGCTCTTCTCCACCCAGCCCACCCAACGCTTCTCGTCCTCGCTCTGCTCCTCCACGTCCTCCAGCGCGAACGACCTCGCCCGTGGCTGCTGCGGCTCCGACAAGGACGACATCGCGCTAAACACTTACACTAGTAGTATATTATTTTATTATTAATCTCAGCTGGGGCTTTGGCTATATGAGCATGAGCTCAAGAGGCCTCGCACACATGCAAAGCTGCTAATGACAAGTTATTGTTTATATAGGCCCCGTTTGCTTCGTTAAAAAATAAATCGAAACATTGTTTCGGCTAATTTGCTACGAGAGAAAAATATTATTTCGATTAAAAAAATAAGCTGAAAAAGACGAATTATAGGAGAACCGAACAAGGTCTTAGTTGTTAATGAGGGGTTTAGATATTTTACCTGAGACACAAATAAAGATGCCAAGCGCACATACACATAGGAACGATCATGGCTGTGTTCTAGACCTAGGCTTGCTAGCCAGGTAAGCCAGGGCTGTTAAAACCTGACTCCCGTAATGCAAGAGAGTGTTTTTTTTAAACGTAGTGCAAGAGAGTGTTGTTTAGTTAGTTCATCTTAGCTAAGCCTGGATTGTCAAGATTGTGATCGGTTGGTTGGTTAGCTCGTACTGCTACAGTAAAGATTTATAGGGGCGGCCAAAGAGGGTTTGTAGGGGCGGTTTGGCCACCCACCCCTACCAAACCGTTTCTACAAATAGCCGATTTGTATGAGTGGTTCCCAAGCCATCCTTATAAATCGATTTGTAGAGGCAACCGCCCCCTACAATTATATTTGTAGGGGCGACTATAACACCAGCTGCCCCTATAATTCCTATTTATAGGGGCGATTAAATTTACAACCGCCCCTACACTGTTTTTCCCGTAAAAAAATTTAAAATTTCAGTATCAAATTTGGCCAGATCATATATATATATATATATATATATATATATATATATATATATATATATATATATATATATATATATATATATATATATATAGGGAAATGATTTCCTACTTCCAGAGAGTAGTTACTCCCATATATATATCTCTAGATTTAGGGCATATATGGCCCGACGAAGTGTATGTAGATGGAGTATATTATCATACTAGATCATCTAAGATACTATGTATGACAAGTATGTATGTATACTTAGAGTATATAGTTATACTTATTTTATATGCTACTATCATAGTATTATATAATATATTAAAAATATGTGCTCTTTTAAAAATTTTCACATAGTAAAGATCTGGAGTATCTTAATATTAGTATGTCAACATACTCAAATTGATAAATAAGTATGTACACATACGCAACGTGATTTATTGATTATCGAAGTAACTACTTCCGGGAGTATATAAAATGCACTATATATATATATATATATATATATATATATATATATATATATATATATATATATATATTCAGTAGCCAGCTCCAAAATAAGTTATTCTGTAGCCACCTCCATTTACGATAATTTTATATACTAATTTACGATAATGTCAATACATATTTACGATAGTTGGGTTACTATAACACATGGAGATATTTACCATAACGTTATAGTAAACCACTTAGTAAGGAGTTACTATAATCTTGTAAATTAACATAGTAATTATCGTAACTCAAGGTGGCTACAAAATCAGGGTAGTAGTTCTATATATATATATATATATATAACTAATTAAAACTATACTAGGTCTCCCAAAAAAAAGGCCCCCGCTGAGAGACTACAACCATTGTGCACCAATGAAATTATACCCAGGATTACCGTATCATTAAAATCTATGGCTCATAATCCTTTCTCACAGGCTTCAACTTGATCCGATGGCCAACGTTATTTGGATCTCCCCTGTCCAGGCTTCAACGCACGCCTCACACATCCCAGCTACGGTAAAATAGAAACCAATGAAAGTTGATCAAGGCAAATATGAAAGTCAATCAAGGCAAATAGGAAGGAGGGATCCGTGCCCGCAGGCTATGGTAAAATGGAAACCAATGGAAGTCAATCAAGGCAAATATGAAAGTCAATCAAGGCAAATAGGAAGGAGGGATCCATGACTCCGATCAAGACAATTTTCAGAATTGTCATTATAATAAGAAAAATCCACGCTGAGCCCGGCCCCATCTGACACGCCCCTTCCAAAACTCTCCGTGCTGTTCTGGTATTGCGTCAATAAGGAATGGCGACAGACCTGCCAACATACCCACTCGCATGTTTCCGTCAAGAACACGTGGGACCTGGTTTGGTGCCCCATGCGTTAGTAGGAGCAGTGGAGCGTCTGCAGCGTGGCTAAACCTAGAAAGGTCTGCCCCTTTCTTCTCATAAAATACCAACGGCGGCACCATGGACAAGGAAGCAAAACATGTCACTTACAGTCCGGGCCCACAGAGAGGAGGTCGATGAAGAGGTTTAGCACATTTGGTATCAAAAAGAGGAGTTAGACCACTGTGTTATAAAAGTAACACACTACACGCCCCGACCGAGTTTACAAAATAAACGAACCGACTTGACACGTGATTATGAAAATAAAAGGCCATTATGAAATAGAATACCCAAGCTAGAGACAATTAGTTTTGTTCTAATTTTAGATATATAGCTTTTGCTATGCACCTAAATATACATTATGTCTATATACATAGTAAAAACTACTTCCTCCATTCTAAATTATAAGTCACTTTGATTTTTTTGGTACATCCATTTTGTTATGCATCTAGATATAATAATATGTCTAGATACATAGAAAAATAGATTAACAAAAAAAGTCAAAGCGACTTATAATTTGGAATAGAGGGAGTATGTATCTAGAAAAGCTGGAACAACTTATAATTTAAAACAGATGGAGTACTTAAAACTTACTTGATAAATCAGTTGATTATGTCAAGAAGAAATGCTTTTTTTTTTCTTTTATCTAATAATTTTCATTAGTTAGCTTTCTAATAGCAAAAAATTATCTGAAGAAAGAAAAACAGGATGGGAGAGAGGGAGAAACCGAGGAACAACCAGATAAATATCCATCGCGGTTGCGCACATATATTTACGACTATATCTACTATTTAATTTTAAAAAAGATCAAATACAATTTTTTCTTTCATTTATCAAAAGTGAATTATAGAGTTACTTTAAGAAGCTATATCTACTTTAAGAAGCTTGGTACGACATCTTTGATTATTTAGGATGAAGTTTGCATGAAGTGGCCATGAAGATCTCCAAGACATGTTTAAGGACTTAGGCATATTGTAAATTATATGATTAATGCGAGAAATAACTTTATTATGTCTTGTTATGTGTAAGTGTTTCCCAAATTGTATATACATGGTCACATATAATTGTGAGAAAGTTGAACTATGGAAAAAAAATCGTTGTTTGATTGTTTCCATGTACATCCCTGAATGAAGCCGTAGCATTAGCACGAGCACTATACTAGTATATATATATCTCGCTCCAGCGGGGCGCAGCCCGACGCGCTACCAGCCCCGACAATGACCCCACCTACCGTAAATTCATTCCGCAGCCGTAAGGGCCTGTTTGGAACGAATGAATCCAAAACGCAGGAATAGGAAAAAACACAGGAATAAGGTATGATGAAAAGTGAAAAAACTACGGGATTTCAAAACACATGAACAGAAAATTTAGGTTGTTTGAAACACATGAATTTATAACATAGGAATTATAATATGTTAGGCAAATATGGGTACTAATTACTATATCTATTAGGCACGAATATGACCCACCATGGTCTTCTCGCCTTAACTGCTCTTTTTTCCCTCCACTTCGTCGCTGTGGTCCATGCTCATGATGCTATGCTCCTAGATGACACCTGCCGCCATCTCGTAATCACTCATTTGCTCGAGCAATCACGAAGGAAAAGAAAACAAGGGATTGGAGTGGATTCTTTTCTTCCCGTGAAATCGACATCTAGCTATAGGAATCCAAAGGAAAGGAAATCTCAATTTCTCCATTCCAAACACACTCAGGGCTCGTTTGGAACGTAGGATAGGCAAAGGAATTTCACGGGAATGCAAATCCTTTACCTTGATGATGTCATGTGGTGTTTGATCAAAGGAACGAGCTGTACCATTCCAAAGAAAAGTCTTCCTTTCACCTAGAAAACACAGGAATGAAAACATCCACTACTATCTCTTGTTTTCCATTTCTTCACGAAGTTGAAGACACTCATGCTCACTAATACTAGTTGGTGCAGGCTTTCAAGAAGACAAAGGACAAAGCACTCATTGATTAACACTCTAAAGTAGGGTCCATGGTCTGTGCAAACATCAGCACGCCATCATGTTTACCACTAACCTCTAAATTCCTATGCTGCTTAGAATCCTTTGTTCCAAACACCAAATCTTTTAAAATTCCTATGTTTTTCATTCCTCAGTTATGCACATACATTTCTTTCCTATTCCTGTATTTCTTCCCGTTCCTCTGTTTTGTATTTCTCCGTTACAAACAGACCCTCAAAAGTTTCCTTTCCTCCATCTCTTGATTCCTACTATTTTCCTTTGAAAATCCAACAATCCAAACGGGCCCTAAACGTGATTTGCGCGAAGCCTGACGCAACACAGGATCCGGTGACCCCATTCCCGCAACCGTAACATGCTCCGTACATTAATAAATATTACACAATTCCTATCTATCAGTCGCCTGATTTTTTTAAGTCCATTCAGGCGACGCCGTGCACTCGTGCCATCACTGGTGCGTTCCGTGGTGCTAGAAAAGCTGGTGCACGGTCGGAGCGACGGACGCTGTTGCAGCACGCGTGCACTTGCGAATGCTGAAGCTATGCGATGGAGCATGTATGAGGCAAAAGAGGCGGATTTCCTTGATGCTCCTATCATTAACGTGCTGAGTAGTAGTAGTAGGCTAGTAGCAGCTAGATTGTTTTGTTAATTGTTTTTTGTCATACTATATTAATTTTTTGTCCTTGTCTATCTACAGATAACAATTGTATAATGTTAAATGTCTTTGTACCGACGTAGGTCAAAAATTTTCAGGTCCTTGGTTTTGTCTAGCGGGTTTTTATTCTTGAACCTGAAAATTGTAGATTACGACCTACAGAAATTACGATAAACTAAAGCTACAATTTTAACATAAA